TCCCCACCGAACAACCACCCTTAAGACACTCATCTGGAGAACACTCACCAAACATCCGCCCTTGGAACACTCGCCTGCAGAAGAGAAAAGCCTGAGCCACCACGATGACTCCCACCACTTGCTGCGACTTCTGAAACAAGGCAGCTCCCAGGACTAGGAGAGCCAGCAGCAGCGCGAGGAGCAGCTGCTGGCAAAGGGCCTTGAGGGTCATGCCTGCCTGTTGAGAATTCAAAGACATGCGGTGCCTCTCACTCACCTGGAAAAGAGGAAAGCCTGAGCCACCACAATGACCCCCACCACTCGCTGCGACTTCTGGAACAAGGCAGCTCCTGGGACCAGCAAGGCCAGCAGTAGCGCGAGCAGCAGCTGCTGGCAGAGGGCCTTGAGGGTCATGCCTGCGAAGACTATAGCGAGGGCGAAGTACTGGTCCATAACGAACCACGCTGCTGCTAGTAACGAGGCTGCTGCAAAGATGAAGTATGAGGTGATGCTGCCCGAGGTGTAGTAATGGGCGAGGTACGCTGCTGCTATGGCTGGGGCAGGGAGGACCTGGCATGGAGGGAAGGACAAGGAGATGCAGAGGGGAAAGAGGGGCAGAGGGAGAGGAGTGTAGGTATCATGCAAAGATGAAGTATGAGGTGATGCTGCCCGCGGTGTAATAGTGGGCGAGGTACGCTGCTGCTATGGCTGGGGCAGAGAGGACCTGGGAGGGAGGGAACGGGAACGACGAAGGAGAGCAGGGACGGGAAAGGCCGACGGCTTGACTTCTGAGTTGACTCAAAAGTCGACGAAGGAGAGCGGGGACAAGAAGGGCCAACAGCAAATGGTTGAAAAAGGAGAGCCAACGAAAACATCTCTTTTGAGGTGAGGACCCACAGGCCAACATAAGCCGCACAGCCCAACGCCAACCCTCTGCATTCCTCCGTTCCCTCACTCCCACCCCATTTCCTAGTCCCCTTCCTCCCACTCCCAGTACTCTCACTCCTACTTCCCAGTTAACATGAGCAGCACTGTTTTCTCTCTTCCATTACCAAGTCTCTTCTTGAAAGGGTTTACTGTGTCCCCTCCTCCCTGCCATAAACGCCTTACCGTGACAGGCATGCCAATCACGAGCGATCCCGCCACAGCAGACACCAGCAGCACGGTCGTCACCACTGCGGACCCCACTGCACCCCTCAGCACGCCCATCATGTGCGCGGCGAAGCCGAATCCGAGGCCAAAGAGCGCGAGAGCGACGAGCAGGTAGTTGAGGGGCGGCGGGAAGTGAATGTAGTGGGCGTAGGAGGTGAAGATGACGCGGATCTCGAAGCAGATGAGCACAACAGCGAGAGAGAAACCCCCGTTGAGAATTTGAACCTGTTGCAATAGGGGTTGGGGATGAGGGAGGAGGGGATTGAGGGGAAGTGGATGTAGTGGGCGTAGGAGGTGAAGATGACGCGGATCTCGAAGCAGATGAGGACGACCGCCACGGAGAACCCCCCGTTGAGAATTTGAACCTGTTGGGGGCAAGGGAGGAGGGGGGTGAGAGGGGATGGAAAGGGGTGGAGAGGGATGGAGGTGAGTGGAGGGGGGTGGAGTGGGATGATGAGGGAGATTAGGGGAAGAGGGGGAAGTGGGTGGAAGTTTTAGAGGGGCGGAGGGAAGTGGGATGTCGTGAGCGAAGGAGGTGAGGAAGAGCATCACCAGAATCAAAGACCTCGTTATTAGGTGCTTCAATAACAAATCCGCTTACCTGATTGAGCTTGACCTTGTCACTGGTAAGCCAATTCAACGCCACCCTCGTCGACGCGTACAGCACGAAGAGCAAGGGCACAAAGAAGAGCAGCAGCGCACCACATCCCCGCTATCAGATGTCCTTATATCGAATCCACTCACCCGTTTGAGCTTGGCCTTGTCAGTCGTGAGCCAATTCAGCGCGCCCTTCTTCGACGCGTACAGAACGAAGAGCACGGGCACGAAGAAGAGCAGCAGCGTGTCACAAGCTTCATTCGCCGACTCGAAGATCCGATTATGATGCACCGCCAGGTGAAACCCGCACGGCAGGAACAGCACGAGCATCATGTGAAACAACCCTTCCATCGGCCCGATTATGAACACATCCTGGGAGGATTCTTTGCCCCCGTGCCTCGCCTGCTGCTGCTGCTGCTGTAGCGTGTGCTTGGAGGATTTAAAGGAGGAGACGCGCGGGAGGGAGAAGAGCCAGTAGAGCGCGAACACGCACGGCATGAGGTAGAACGGCGCGTGCGCCGCGCCGATCGCGGAGATGAGCCCGTATGTGATTATAGCGATGGCTGTCATGGGCGTGCACGCGAACAGGAGTCGCTCTAACGCGAGGACTACAAACGGATGCTCGAGCTGCAGCCAGCGGAATTGGAGCGAGACCCAGACCCCGCAGAGGAACACGAGGTGCATCGCCGTGAGGAGGATCAGCACGGAGATCATAACGGGGATGTGCGGTGCGAAGCCGAGGCCGGAGAACGCGAGCGCGGCCGCCGTGGTGAAGAAGGTGCACCAGATGGCGACAAAAGCGCCGTTTTTGAACTGCAGCGCGTCGAGGATGTAGGAGATCATGAGCCCCGCGACGAGTGTGCCTACAACGAGCGGCCCGCCGGCGCCTAGAAGCACGAGTACGCACGGCAGCAGCGCCGTGGCGACGCGCGCGTTGTACTGGAAGCCGTGAGATGCGGCGAAGCGCGAGTCTCCGGAGGAGGGGGTGGCGGGCGCGGAACCGGAAGGCATGGGGATTGGCCGGCGCGGAAGCTGCCCCCCCATGGCGGGGGAAGTGTAGGGGGAAGCATAAGGAGAAGTGTACGGGGTGTGATACCCCGGTGACCCTTGCGCGTACATGACGGTAACGCCTTGCAAGGATATTAGAGATTCTCGAAGGAGTGACGGAATTTCAAGAAAGTGAGTCACCTGGCCGAAATTATGAGAAATGCTGCCTAACTAAGCGTGATAGTAACGAATCTATGTCAGATACAGACAGATGATGAGGCTGATGCGTCTTTTGAGATGTCTCAAAAGCTGGTGCTTCAGATACAGGCGCACGATCTGGCTTCAAGGCAAAGGAAAGGGAAGCCAAATTCTAGAATCTGCAGTGCACAAGAATAGATGCGAGGGGAAAATGCTAGGAGTCGCATCGTCATCGCGCTAAACCCGTCGATCTGACGCGGCTGCTGGCATTTCGACCATCATGGACGCAGGTGCTTCCCCTACAAGATCGAACCCGTCTACTCCAATGATTGTTACGAACCACCCCACACTACAGAACTAGTGTGATTAATTAAAGGAAACACCACTACAGTATCAGCAGACCCGCGACGAGCTAATGACCAGACTCCGGACCTGCTACTAGCGCTACTAGTGCTCGTTCTAGAATCTGACATCTGAAAATCCTGGTCAATTAGGAGACGCAGATCCCGTGCTCCTCCTGTTTCCCTGTTGGCCTTGAAATCATCCAATCCAACCTAGATTTCTCCCCCAGACAGCAGCGTGGTATAACCGACCTGAACCGAGAAGAACCGAAATATGAATCCGAAGCGATGGCAGTGACCGTACGCGTTACAATTTTACCATTCACGTTATCGAGTCCCATGCTGGTTACGTGTGGCATATTTTCCCGTGCCGAGCCCCAGATCCAGCAGAGACACGTTTCAAAGAAATCAGAGAATCCTACGGCTTAGAGCGTGTTACGTACCCCTTATTTTGGTGTTAGGCCCCGGTTGCCTCCAAAAGTCGACTCAACCTGACTGGTCAGGTCAACCGGGGCTGTCAACTTGGCCGGTTGGGTACCTAGCAGGCAACCTGCAAATGTACCACTCGCCTGCTTTTGGGACCCAACCGTGCCAACAGTATTTCGGGTAGACCCAACAGTCACTGTGTCAATCTTAGTGGCCAAAATTTGATGAAATTTTGATTGCACCAGTCACATCAATTCCCGCTAGTGCAACCTGCCCGCAATGTTTTCGTGCACCCTCTGTTTGCGCGGCGGTTAGGTACGTTCAACCCTGGTTGCCTCAATACGGTTGTACCTGGTCGAGACCAGTCGGTTGCCCGACTACGTGGTTGCCTCGACCAGCTGCCAGACGGGTGTGGTACGCACGTACATTACTGTACACTGTAGAGCGTAGGGTTATCCGGTAACCCTACGTTCAACCCAACCGGCATGTTTGAGGCAACCGCGACCGGGCCCCAAAATAAGGGGTACGTAACACGCTCTTACTACCGTTCGTCACCAGATCGGACAGTTCAGTCATATTCGAAGCTATTGAATATCCACTGCCTGGTTATATTCTACACTATCATAACGTGCACTTACACATGAGCACTTCATGCTTGTACAACAAAACAAATGCACTACCGTAAGAGGAGCATCATGGACCCTCAAGACAAGCCTGATAGGGCTTCCACAATTCCATGTCAATAATTGATGTTGGCAATAACCATATGCCGTACATCGCCTGCCTCCATCCCGCTCCCATAAAGAGGCGCCATGGGGGATCACTCTTTAATGAAGCATCCGCAGTAGCCTTAGCAAATTCCTCTGCACTCGTCTCTACGAATTTAGTCACCGCCCACTCAGAAAGGTGGTTCAGCCGGCTCTCGCATGACTTGTACAAGCTATTGGGTGGCAGTGGTTTCCTGTTGTGCTGCTCATTGCTGGGGTGATTGGAGAGCAGGGCATGAGGGATGCACGGAAAAGAGGAGATTAGACTCATGGTGACATACGGCCTCCTGAAAACGGAGATGCGTGTATTTACAGGTAGCAGGACTGACAGAATGTTGCTCGCGGGCAACATCTTACCTCGCAACACTCATCCCACATCCCAAAAACACACACCGCACCACATTCTCTTCCCCGCTGTTCCCCCCCCCCCCCCCCCCCCCCCCCCCCCCCCCCCCCCCCCCCCCCCACACCCCCCCCACCACCCGAAAGGAAAGAAAGAAAGAAAAAGGCGCACGACCTGCCCCCTCCCCCTCCTCCTCCCCCTCCGGGTGTATCACCTGTGTATCTTGGTCTTGATGAATCCAGGAACTGCCAGCATGACTTGCACTCCGAATGGCTTCATCTCCATGCGCATGCAGTTGGTGGCTGCGTTCAACGCCGCCTTGGACGCCGAATAGGCTGCTGCCATGGGCCTGTGGCAAGTGGGGGAACGGGGGGGAGGGAGGGACATAACTGTGGGGATGGTGGAGAACTTCAAAACACTATGGCATCGCACAGGGTTTAACCGATGCAGTGCATGGCATGGCATGACAACCCACCAGATCTCACAAACACATGGGAACACGCAAGCTATATCGTCTGCCTAGTCCTTCCTCTCCGATACCAGACTCACAGGTGGCAGTAACCCGCGCAGCTGGAGACGTTTACAACAAGCCCCTGCTTCCTCTCAGCCATGTGCGGGAACACGGCCTGGGCCATCGCAACCACGCCGAGCAGGTTCGTCTCGAACATCGCGTGCCAATCCGGAAGCGGAGTGTCGGCCAAGGGACGCGTGGCAAACACAGCAGCATTGTTGATGAGAACGTCTATTCGCCCAGCTTCCTTCATGATCGTCTCAACTGCATGCTGGGATAGAGCAGAGAAAACGGAGGTGATTTGAGCTGGGTGAAGTAAAATTCAATCAGAGAACGGAGAGTCGGCCAGGGAGCGCATGGCTAGGACATCAGCATTGTTTACCCTCACCTTCCAACATAATTGTCTCAATTGCGCGCTGTCGGGTATTGGGATAGAGCAGAGAAAAGTTGGTGCGGCACTTTACACTGAGAAGTGTAGGGACTACATTATCAGGGAGGGAGATTAAATGCATGGCCACATCACACTGGCTTTGCTTACTACCTGGATATCAGGCAGATTGAATGATTAAAAACGATACAACACCATCTGGCGCATTCATAACGTCTCACCAAACGATACTTTGCTTACCTGAATATCTTCCGCGTTTGTCACATCCAGCTTCAATACAGTCACTCCCTGCTCCTGTAACCCGCGCATGGCCTCCAATCGGCGCGCAGTGGCGTACACCGTGGCCCCCCGTCGGGCGTATTCCCTGCGATTCATCGCACAGTTTGACACCCAAACCACGCATGCCTTAAAAATCAGACATCGCCATGGTATCACACGATTTTACCCAACAATAATTAATCAAGCGCCTGATATGCATGGAATTTTCGAGATTCTTAGACACTCACGCAGGCCTTTCATCAAATCTGCTTCAATTCACCGAACAGCCAACCATGATTGTCCAACTCCGACAAAGCCTTAAACTGCTCCTTCACATACTACCACCAACTCGTGATTTAAGAACAATGGCGACAGAAGAAATCATTCGCTTCAATTTCTAGTTTCCTTTTGCCGCAAGGACGTATAAACGCATCTTTGCAACATCACAAAATTGTTTGCCCCCGGTACTATGTACTTATAGGTTCTGCTATATTGTAGATACGGAGCTTTATGGAGTAAATTGCTTGTAGCAGAACCTATAGGTACATTGTACGGGGGGGAACAATTTCCAGTTGAACTGGCATAGTAGCTTGAGTGGCACGCGTGTTTTTTGAGAATTCTTAAAACGCATCTTTGCAACTGGCATAGTAACTTGGGTGGCACGCGAGACGCAAGCAGTTCCGAGACGCTTACACAGCCAATGAGTAACCAATTCCGCCTTCGGAACACCCCGTTATAAGCACGACTTTTCCGTCGGCCCTGATTGGCCGAGGCCGGCCAAGAAACGCGCCCATGGCGGGGACTCAGCAGTCAGCCGAGCCGCCTGACACCACCGAGAATAAAGCCAGAAGGAACAACTAAATAAGGAGCAGGGTTGGGTCGCAACACGACATAGAGAAAAGGAACCACTACTAGCATTGTCGTTCGCATCGTCCCGTGGGGTCTATGCCAGCGACCGATCGGGGGAACCTCGGATCTCGTCACGAAAGGACACTCATCTCTCATCTCGTCACTAGGCGCTTCCAGAGGATCCAGCTGCCGCTCATCTTTGGCAGCGCGATGACCTGTTGCAATAATCCACTAACTCTAGTTAAAGCCGTGGCCCAACTTTCAACTTCAACTTCAAGGTATTATAGTTTGGAAGAGGTTGACCCAGGCAGTTCAGAGCCGAGAAGTTTGTCCTTTTTTGGTTTTCGACCAATAGAATTCAAGGTACACACATGCTACTTTTGTCCGCCTACTGTTCCTAAGAAGTTGCACCCCGCCTTTAATGCTGCTGCTGCTGCTGCAGCAGATGCCAACCCAATTCTGCACAGCTGTATTCACTGCTTATACAGCTGTACAGGTGTACTGTACACGGTTTGTAACCGTCTCTGTAGTTTCGCCGACAGAAACGAATTCGACCGAACCATTCAGCAAAACTACACACCGTTCTGGCACGCCAAAAAACGCACCTCACCGCATCAAAACGCTCTCGAATTTCGCCCTCGGTGCGAGCTATCACCTGAACACAGCCATGCAGGATCGCAATCATCGGGTTCAAAGGTCGCACGCACGCATGTCCTCGCAGCCATGCAAATTTGCACGTGTATTGGCGGGTGGTGGTGGTGGGGCGAGCCGAGCATACGTTCTCGGTAGGGAGTTTAGCGTTAGGAGTCCCGTTTGGTGGAAATTTAAATTTGAAAATCTTACGGTGGAACTCGCCCCCACCACCCCCTCCTCTCTCGGGGACCGGCTTCGCCTTCACATTCAAAACCGTGTTACACCTCGCCTGATAAACGAAACCTCTTTGACGCGTTTCGCAAGATTCGGACCAGCTGGCGAACTTGAGCTCAGCGCGAGGTCGCTAGTTGGACCCAGAGCACTCTCTAGCACGCCGAGTGTGCGAGTGAAAACGCTACTACATGCTTGGGGGATAGCCCTTTTTTGTAACATTTCCTTGCTGAAATGTTGGCGGTGTTCGCCAGCACTTTTCTAAGGGTGCATTCCTACCTCGTGTCAGACATCAGGTCATCCGTCCTTAGAAGCTCGGAAGACCCGAAGTGGTTCAAAATAGGGGCAAATCAACATTGAGAAGAGACAAATCAGAGACTAAGGGCGGATGACCTGATGTCAGACCCGCCATAGGAATGCACCCTAAGCAAAAACGAGGGGATGACGACGGGATAAGGAAGGCAAGTCTCGCCTTCCTGATCCCGTCAGTTAGGGTTCGTTAACCTCCGTCAGCCTGGTCAGCCCGTAAAAATGCTGCCGAGCCTCTCATGCCGTCCGAACCTCTTAGAAAAGTGAGGGCGTGGCGAACGCCCCCAATTTTCACCCATCTCGAAATGCTTGACCGCATATGGAAACGGGGTCGCAGTTTCCTCCGCTGGCAAAAACTATCCCCCAGCGATGCCATCACCATTCACCTCTCTCCCCTACACCCCACTCCGCCCCTACTCAAACAGAATTTCGCCCCCCCTTCAGTCCCCTTCTCATCTCTCTCAACCGCTGAATCTTTTCCTGCTCAACGTCTCACGGCCGGACATCCTCTCGTCTTCAGCACCCCAGGACAACTTTCCCGCCATGTGAATCTTGCAGAACTTCCGTTTCCTCGCCGTGATTCCTTGCACAAACCCTCGTGTTATCCTGCCAACGCAATTCTGCCACGCCACCCAATCCACCACTTGAACCCCCCCACCCCTCCTTTCGTTTCCCCTTCTCCCAAGTCCCTCGTCTGTGCAAGTTCGAAGCCCACGCCAACCGATCGCCCTCCTCCGACCAACCTCACAACAATCTCAAAGGAGAGCCTTGTCAGCCTCCACTATAGGCTGCTGACCAATCTTACCCCCGTTTCTCGTCCCTCTTGTCAGGCGGGTCCCATTCTCTCCCACGTAACGCCATCTCCAGCTCCTCGTTTTCTTCACCTCTCCCTTCCGTGCCTCCGCCTGCACGGCGCCGCTGACTTCAATTCCCTTCCCGCTTGGCGCTGCCACCCCACGTTTGGCGCCAGCTCAGCGCTGCCCCCCCACGTTTCCCCTCCCTGGCCACCTCCGGCCGCGCCACTAAAATGGCTAGGAAGCTCGGCGTGCCGCCTAGGCTGCCAGTTTCAATTTTTGCTCGCACGAGTCTGGACCCTCGTAAGGTCCCGGGTTTCGGGCAGCCGACTAGGCTCCCAGCCCCGCGTCATGGCCTTAATGGCGTCGCCACGTCCCCGTAACATCCGCAACCTCTCTGCCCTCCCCGCTTTCCCCGCTCTCCCCCTTTCCGCCTGCTCTTCGCACTCCCCTCGCCCGCGCTCTCTCTTGAGATACTTGCACTCACGTTCTCCTGCCCGTCAGGAGCCCATGCTGCCCGCCTCGCCTCTCCCCCCTTATTCCCCTCACGGGGCCTCGTTCGATCGCTCTATATATAGCTTACCTTTCGTTCCTCCCTTCACTCGCTTTACAACTTACAACCCCCCAAGCTTCTCCTACTCACTTCTCACTATGGCTGAACAGGTCTACAACCCCGACCACACCATGACTGCTGCTGAAGAGGAGGCCCTCGTTGCCTCCGGGGAAGACCTTGCTGTGGACGACCTGCCCGAAGGCATGTTTCACCACCTCGCGGACCCTGTTGACCTCCCTGCTGCAAAGAAACCGTGCACGGCTTCTAACGCCAGCCCCGCTCCCAATTCCTCCCCCTCCACCTCCTACGGTGCGGGTCCGGCGCTCCCTGCACACGCTCCCGCGTCCCTCGCTATCGCTGCCCTCACTGCGCCCTCGCTTGGCCTGGCACCGTCGCAGGCCGCAACTGCACCATCTCCCAACTGCCAGGCAGCTCGCGCAACCGCCTACGCGTCCGTCGCCTCAGGTTCCAACCTGGCGCCGGCGCTGCCTGCATCGCTCTTCGCCTCGCCCACTCCGGGCGGCGCCCCCCGCAATCTGCGGCGCGCGCGCACGGATGCTGCTGCCCCGATGCTCTTCCCCCTGCGTCGCCGCGCGGTAGTTAATGTTCTCCTCCCGGAAGCTGGGCTGGAGTCTCACCGCTCTGAAATCTTCGCAGGCATTAATTCGCAGCTTTGTGGCTTCATGTTCGCATCCGGCATTGTCCCTTCCTTCGAGCAGACCATTGGAGACCCCTACCGTGTGGCACGCCGTGTGTATGGCCGCCTGCTCTTCTCATGGCCGTCGCAGGAAGATGCGGCGGCCTTTCGCAAGCTGTTTCCACTCACCCTCAAAGTCTCCAACTCCCGCCCCCTGCTGCTTAAGGTGTTTGAGGACAGGTTTGCAGCCTTCACTGCTGCCAAGGCTGCCGGCGCAACCACCCTGTCTATTCGGAACGTCCCTCTGGATTTCGATCCAGAGGATATCCGCGCGTATCTCCTCGGCTCCACCGATTCTGATGGCGCGCACTGGCTGGCAAATCTGACGGATTTCCACCGTGCTTCGGACCCCTACGAGGACACGTACTTCACGCACCTCGCTGGGCTCCCAATCGCCACCCCCGACGACCCGAATTTCGAGCGCATCCCTTCCGAAATCCCACTGGAGGAGAACAAGCCTCCCATGGTACTCAACTTCTCCAGCCACGCGTGCGCGCTGTGCGCCAACAATCATCGCGCGTCTGACCACGAGGCGTTCGCAGCCCGCCGGCGGCAGCGCCTCACAAACCGGAATGTGATCTCAGTCGCGCAGCTTCAAAAGACTAATGGTACGCTCCTCGAGAATCTCTCCCAGCGATGCTACCCTCCTTTCCCCCTGCCTTACCACTCTGGTCCCCTCATGCTCCCCCTTCTGCCCTCCATCTTGACACCTTCCCCACCCTGGTCCACTTCCTCCCTGCTCCTCCAAAGCTACATCTTTTACTCACCCTGCTCTATCCCTTTGTTGTCTCATTCCCCTCTGCCATCCCAGCTATGCTACATCCTTTTTCCCCTTCCTTACTGCCCTGTTTCCCTCGTACTCCTCCTTCCGCTCTCCATTTCGACATCTCCCCCCTCCCGGTACAATACCTCCTCGCTCTCCCAGAGCCACTGTTATCACCCTCGCTGCTCTGCCCCATTGGTGCCTCATCCCCATCTGCCCCCCCAGCTATGCTACCTCACCTTCCCCTTGCCTCACCGCCCCGATCCCCTCGTGCTCCCCCCTCTGTTAGTCATTTCGACATCTCCCCCCCCTGCTGCACCACCCCCCCCGCTCTTCCAGAGCTACAGCCCTCACCCATTTTGCTTTGTCCCATTGTCGCCTCATCCCCTATGTCCCCCCTGCTATGCTACCTCACCTTCCCCTTGCCTTACCGCTCTGGCCCCCTCGTGCTCCCCCTTCTGCTATCCATTTTGACACCCCTTCCCCCCTGGCACATTATCTTCCCGCTTCTCCAGAGCTACAGCCCTCACCCACGCTGCTCTGTCTCATCTCTGCCTCATCCCCCTCTGCCCTCCCAGCTATGCTACTTCACCATCTCCCCGCCTTACCTCTCTGGTCCCCTCGTGCTCCCCCTTCCGCTATCCACTTTGACATCTCCCCCCCCTTGCTACACTACCCCCCCGCTCTTCCAGCAGTACAGTTCTCACCCACGCTGCTCTGCCCCTTTGCTGCCTCCCCTCCCTCCTCTGACCACCCAGCTGCCGGGCCGCCACGATCACCGATGCCCGATTCCCCCCCATCACTCTACCCCTGCCTCCCCTCCGCCCCGCAGCCAACGCGCTCCCATGGAATTCCCCCCCCGCAACCCCATTTCTACCCCCCCCTATGCCCACCGTCTCATCCCCCCCTGCCCCCCCCAGCGGTCGGACCCCTGCACTCCCACAAGCTTACCCCAACCCCTCACCCTCCCCGCCCTTGCCTCTCTCTACAGCCCACTCTTCCCAACAGCCCCTCCCCCCCCCCCACCTCATCCACTCCAACCCCACCCCTTGGGGCTCACCCCCCCTTCTCTCGCCCGAATTCTGCCCCTCCTCGCCGCACAGCACTCACCTTTCCCTTCTTTCTCCCCACCCTCGCCCCTCCCCACCAACAGCCCCCCTATGAAACCCTCCTCTGTCTGCTCCCCCTCCCCCCGACTGCACTCTCCTCAACCCCCTCCCCCTCAGCCCTCAGCTATTCCCGCCCCCCTTGTGGTTGGGCTCTTATCCCACCCTGCTCCCCTTCTGGCTTCCCCCCCCCCTTCTTTGAACTTCCTCCTCCACGCAGGCAAAATCCTTGGAAACCACGCCGCGCCTACCACCTTGAGCAACGATCCTGGCCTTATCTACATCGGGCTCGACGAAAAGGTCGAGCCCTGGACATGTGCGCTCTGCGATTTCACCTGTGGCGCTGCCCTCGACAGCGCCATGCTCCACATTCAGTCCGAGCTGCATGCCTCGCGCGTGAAGGCTACGGCCCACCTCCCGGCAGCCAAGGAGGCCTATGGCCCCTGGCGCGCTCTCACTCTGCAGCAGAAGCCTTCGGTGGCTGCCTTCCTCCGTGGCTGAGTCCCGTGCCCTTGCATGTACGCCTTGGTAGAGGCCTCCTTGCATATTATCGGGTGCATGTCTCCCTTGCTCCCCAGTTAGAATATGGCTTTCTGGCCTGCTTGCATGCATTTGTATCCGTCATTATTATGATGCTGCTGCCCGTACCAAGGCCGACCTTTACCACCCTTTTCAAATGTAAACAATCAGCTCTAGTACGTTGTATGCACAATTCCTTGATCCAAACCTTACAGCAATATACCCACACACACCCCTCCTTTAGCCTGGCCACTTTCCTTTGCAACTGTCGGGGAAAGCCCCCCCCCAAGCCCTCAGTATACCTGTCTCTCCCTCCGTTGCACCCTTGCTTGTGGGGCTCTAGCCCCCTCCTCTCACCTTACGCTCCCGGCATCCTTCCTAGCTACACCTACCTCATAACTCGGCTATGGCGTAACTTTGGTCTTTTTCATATAAAACCCGCGCGCATTTATGGTTCACAAGCCCCTAACTCCAAACAAGCACTCCCTCGGCAGCTCTTTGAATCCCTGGACCCACCGATACGCCTTAACTCGCCGATACACCACCTAATGTCGCCTCGGCACCACGAACCACACCAAATCCGGCATGTCTCCGACCTCACCCCCACCCCTTCCACTCACCAGCAAAAACATGTGCTTAGGCCGTGGATACGCACTTTCTCCCGTGCGGTGGCCTTCACGTCGCTGCCATGTTAACGCACCTCCGAATCCTATGCATCAACGTGAACGGAATCAATGAGACTCGCAAAATGGATGAGCTCAAGTCCTGGCTCTCGCGCCTTCCCGCCCCCATTGACCTGATAATCCTCGTTGACACTCGACTCATCCTCAGAATTCCCAACATCGATTTCAAATTCCGACCACACTCTTCCGCTCACGCTCCGGCGCTGCTCTCGACTGATAACGCTACCGGCAGGCCCACTCTCATCGGAGGCATATCCGTCCTCTCATTCAACAGGGCCATCTCAATGTCCTCCCCGCTCCCTTCTGCAGACGGCAGGCTTATCACTGTACACCTCAGTTATCTCCGCGAGCAAATTCGACTTATCGCATTATATGCGCCCACACAATTCTACGAGCGTCGAACTTGGTGGTCCACCACGCTCGTTCCGGCACTGGAAACTCCCACCGCTGCCTCCGCGACCATGCTCGTTGGAGACTTCAACTCGGTCACCCTTCCCATTGACAGGAACCGGCCCCTCAAAGATTACGAAGGCCGTGAAGGAGCTTCCTTCGCCAAACTCATGGATTCTCACTCGCTGGTCGATACATTCCGAGAACTTTTTCCCACACCTGCCAACGTCTTCTCCTTCTATGGCAGGCAACGCCTGAACTCAGCGTCCCCGCCGACCTCTTCCCGTCTAGACATAATTTATATCTCCCGAGCCTTCCTCCCTCGTCTCACTGCTAGCCCATACATTCAAACCCGCACGTCAATCACAGATCATTTGTATGCCCCTCTCTGCTCGCTCTGTTTCACCAACCCCACTGTTGCCCCCCGGCCCTGGCGACTCCGCCAACATCTACTTATGCGATCCCATGCCGCACAAATCGTCGATGCCGCCCTTACAGCCTTCCCCTCCTCCCCTTCCCCGGAATCCTGGGACAGATGGAAGCTCGACCTCACCCTTAGCTTTAAAAGATTCTCCAACCTGGAAAGGCGTCGTGTCGATGGCACGATCGCGCACCTAGAGCGCACCATTGGCTCTCTACAATCACAAGCTGCATACACGCCCTTGGACCAGAACGATTCTTCTCGCCTCAGCAAAGCACAACTCCACTTGGCCAGATATGAAGCCTCGAAAGCCTTCGAGATTGCGCTTAAGGCCAAATTGAAAGTGGAAGGGCACAGAGAAATGGGTGTCTCCTCCCTCCTCTCCGGACTCAACTCGCGAATCAAAGGCTCGATCATCAACTCCTTGACCCTACCTAACGGGCAGACGACCTCGGACCTGGCCACCATGACTAGTATGTGCTCTAACTTCTTCCGGACACTCTATAGCGGGAGCAACCAAGTCACCCCTAACCCTTCTTTCTGGCAGCATATCCCTTCCTCATCCATCCCAAACCCCTTATTCCTCCAGCTTAGCGCTCCCCTTTCCCTATCCGAAATCGGAAAAGCACTCCTCTCTCTTTCACGAGGGAAAACCCCAGGCCCAGACGGTCTCCCAGGGGAGCTCTTTCGACAATTCTCCCCGCGCTTCGCACCGGCCTTCCACTCCCTACTCTCACCACCACAGCCACTCTCCTGCCTCCCGCCGTCCATGTTGACCGGACGAACGGTCCTTATCCCCAAAAGGGGGGTTTCTCGCTAGTGGAAAATCTCCGCCCCATTACCCTAATGAACGCGGATTACAAGGTACTCGCGCTATGCCTTGCTAACCGTCTTCAGCCCGTCCTCCCCCAACTCATCCACCCATCCCAAACTGCCTTTATCAAACACAGGAAAATCGGTGATACCATTAACGATACCTTGGACATCATGGACTGGGCGACCTATTCCTCGGCGCCCCTTCTCGCTCTCACTGTGGACTTTCGCAAAGCATACGACCTCGTCGACAGGCCTTTCCTCCTCCACGCCTTATCAGTTCTGGGACTCCCCACATCCTTCATCCACTGGGTTCGATTAATGCATTCCAACACGTGTACACGTATCTCGGTTAATAACATGCTCGGCCCCACCTTCCCCGTCCGCACTGGTGTCCGTCAGGGCTGCCCACTGGCTCCCCTGCTCTTCGTTTGCGTCATGGAGATCTTTCACCGCTACACGTCCCTCTTCCTTCCTGGCTTCGCCTTGTCCCACGCACAGCGCCGTCTTATGGCGTGCTATGCAGACGACGTCACTCTCTTCCTCACCTCAGATACAGAGCTCGGACTTGCTGTAGTGCTGCTCGGTGTCTTTGGATCGGTCTCCGGAGAAATCCCCAACTGGAGAAAATACTCCATAATTCCATTCAATATTCCCCCTACTGACCTCGTGCACGCCGGGAGCATACCTATCCGAGTTCCCACGCAGAACGCATCCTCGGAATTTGCGTTGAGCGCCTACACCCTGGCTCCACCACCTGGAACAAGGCTCTCGCCCGCATACAAAGCACCGCCAAGTGTCTAGCAGCACTACACGCCACTGTCACGTGTCGCAAATCCCTCTCCTCGGTCTTTCTAAACTCTGTCATCTCCTTTCCCGGACGCTTTCAACCCACCCCTTCAGACACAATCAAGCACCTAGACGTGTCAGTTGGGAACTTCCTTTCATCCTCGAAACACAAGCTAGACGGCCTCGCACAACGCCTCATTTCCAAGGCCCTCCTGTACAATTCCCTCCAAGACGGCGGGGTCGGGGCGATTGCCCCGTCTATACAAGTCAAAGCCCTGGCTATTCAGCGCGCCCTGCGCAGATTCGGACCAACCCCCTCTGAGGAAGTAGCACGTACCCTGACCCCGTTCCCCTTCGGGCTACATGGACTACTCTCCCATAAAGCCATCCTCGAACGAGATTGGCTCCCTACATTCATCCCCCCGCGGGCACTGGACGAACTTAAAGCCCTCCTCTCTCTCCCCTTGGTAATTCATAAGCCCCCCCTACGCATGCAGTGCATCCTCACCGAACCTATCGCCTTCAACCGCTTTCTCCTCAAACCCGACGAACGGCCTTTTGGCACCCGCCAACACGAACGCTTCCTTCTTACAAGGTAGCTCCGCATCGGACACCTTGTCCGTATCACCAATTTTGATGTCAGCCCCGTCTCTGCAGACGAGTTTTGCTCCCAAATCCCGGAGGAGTTCCATGAAGACGCAACACGCATCCTCCCAGACCTTATCAAGGCTATCAAACCTCCCTGGTGGGCCGCCCTCCGAACCCCACATGCCTCTTATGCCTCTCCAGGTGAATGGTTCATGCTTTCAGACGACCACTATTCCATCTCTCATCTCGCCCTCCAAGTCGTCGCTTACATTCCCCCTGCCTCCGTTTCGGCCACTGTCCACTCCGTCTCGCCAAATCGTCGCATCGCCCGCAACCCAACAAACACCGGACTCTTCCGTTTACAAGACCTCATCGAGGTGCACGTCAGGGATTGGTGGCTCGCAGGGCCACTTCACACAGGGGCAGGGTTAGGAGCTAGGATTGGACTTCTACAGGACGGCACCCCCAGCATCGCCGACATCCGCCGTCTCCTCTACTCAGCACAACCGCTAACTCACCACAGCCGATGGACCCGCGATCTCACCCTTCCTCCTCCTCCTCTCCCAGGCCTTAAGGACGCATTTCTCAAGGACCAGCCGAGCCGTCAGCGGGACATCCTTTTCAGACTCTTCACGCTCACCCTTCCCTCTGGATCACGCTTCCAGTACTTTGACGATCGAGGGGTTTGCCCTCGATGCCCAGCTGCCGTCGTCGAGACACTGCCACATATATTCTTTGAATGCTCCTCCGCCGGAAACGTCATCTCGGCTCTTCGCACAGTCGCTGACCGCCATCTAGGACAAACCACCACAGCCGAACACATCTTCTTCCCGATACAGTCACGGGTGGGACAGTCCCCCCCATGGAGCCTACTAGTGGGAGCTGCAGTTAAGACACTGTGGAATGCTCGCTGCGACCACAAGTACCGAAACTCCTCCTCCTCGAGCTTCGAGATACTACAGCTGGTATTAGCCCAATTTCTCATCGCTTTCAAAATCTACATTTGGAGAAGCAGACGCCAATCTACCAAGAAGAGACAACGTACATCCTCCAGCATCAAGCGCGCACAAAAACTTCGCTTCCTCCTCTTCGACAGGAGCGGTACACCCTCTATTCACCCCGACCTCAGAGCCTCATGGCTTATGGGAAACCCGTTCCGACCGCCGTAGATGGCTACCTGCATAGAGTGTCTCCCCAGTCTGCTGGTGGTTGTCCTTTAGGACAAAGAAATAACGTGTGTTCCACGTGCTCCTTATAGGATGCTGGCCACTTCGGCCATGTTTCTAGATAGCTCTATGCTACTATTCTTTGTAAATTGATTACGATCAATATATAACCTTAGCCATCACCATTCACCTATCCACGGTGAATGGCGATGGCATGGCTGTGGCATTGCACGTCAGAGGGGAACTGCGGAAGGTGGGGCTGGGGGTTCCATATGCGGTTGCGAAATTTCCCGTTTTGGGAGTTGAAGTTTCGCGGACCGCATAACGCCTAGACCTCTTTGGGGGTGTTTCGACCCCGGTTCCGGATGCGGTCATCATGCCGATGCCGCCAAAATGCCGTCCGTTTTCAAAGTTCCTGGCGAACACCGCCGTTCACAACGCACAGCTGGTCATTCCCATTTTAAGGGAGTTTCTTTCCGTGCAGCGGTAGCGCCATTATCCATGACAAACTCAATGTAGACGACAGCAAAGGCCAGTACCGTCCGACCTTGATTGTGTGTTTTTTCCCCGTGTTTTTTCTGCTTGATGTCCGCTCTTATTTAGTATCGCAGTGGGTTCACCGCCGTTGCTGCGGGAGCAGGTATGTTGCGCACCCGCAATGATGATGGCGCAAACGGGTGGCGTGGGGAAAGTGTGGCGATGTCCAGAACGGATAGCGAAACGGGCGGTGCTGGTAACAAGGGTTTCGTCAGGAATGTGGCCAAACAAGACCTACGATTGCTCCTAGAAAAGCTTGACACGCCCGCATTGGTACGCTTTTTTTGGCACCAACAGTGCAATCGCTAAGTATATACGAGCTTTTTAGGTTCCTGCTGAGCTGTTTTGGGGGAATTCACAGCATCTATACCTTTTTTTCGCTTTTCTTTTGTCTCCCCCATCCGTCCCGACCAATCAGGTGGCTCCAGAGCTCGAACTCGGCCCTAAGAACCGCATAGGCGTGTACCTGAAGACTCTCGATAAGCTATCCGACGCGCTGCGGTTCTTCGAAGCGCACAATTATCTGGGAAGCTGCCGATTTGAGCAGCAGCAGGGAAGAGCGCTGATGGACGTCGCTGTGGGGCGACTGGGAGAGGAGTTTGGGGAGGTGCTGTGTGGTGGAAGGTGGGTTGTGAGGGTTGGGGTGTGGTGCTAGCTAGCGGTGCAATGTGTGCTGGGGAAGGTGCTGTGCGGTGCAAGGTGGGCTGGCGGAGGTGCAATGCGGTGCGGGTGGGCTGAGGGAGAGGAGACGCCTCTGCTTCTTTTGTTGAGTCTCTTCAAAACGCCTCCAACCCCACTCCACCCGCCTCTCCACCCTATCCACAGCATAATACCGAACCGGAGCTATCTGCTCCAATCAGCAGCAGGCAAGATGCTTCTTGAGTCGACTCAAAAATCGCCCCACCTCACCCACTGGCCTCTCCTCTCCACCCTATCCACAGCATAATACCAAACCGGGGTTATCTGCTCCAATTAGCGGCCAGCAAGATGAGTTTTGAGTCGCTCAAAATGCGCCCCACCTCTCTCCCCACCCGCCTCTCCCCACCCGCCTCTCCCCACCCGCCTCTACCCACCCGCCTCTCCACCCTACCCACAGCATAACACCGGACCAAAGGTCATTGCTCCAAGCAGTGGCAGGCACGATGCCGGGTGAGGTTCTGACGCCCACACCTCTGCTTCGGCCCGAGGCTGTGACGCAGCTGCGGCCCATGGCTGCTTGGATGCTGGGCAATGGATACGAGTCTGCGTGCCTCTCAGTGTACGAGTAAGGTTCGATTGCCTTTCACTGTACGATGAAGATTCGATTCGATTGCTCTTAAATTTGCCAGTAATGTCCGATTTCTTGTGAGTGTTCATGTAGTAATGTTCAATTTTCCAGTCCTACCAGAACTTTTCAATATGACCTCTCCCCTGTTCCCCTACCAAAGTTATGAGTATGATTCGATCGCCTCTCCATCTCCCCCTCCTTGCCACCCTGTGCCTTGCGCTTGATCATTCCCCCTTTTCCTGTTCCCGCTCCCCCACATCCTCTCCCATTCCCCCCTTCCTCCTCTCCCCTTCACCACCTCCCCCCTCCCCTCCTCTCCCCCGCAGGCAGCACCGCGCGGCTGCTCTCCTGCTCTGCGTCACGCGGCTAAGCGGCAGCACAGCAGCATTGAAGTGCGATGAGGTGGCAGCGCTGGCATGGGAGGAGCGAGAACCCCTCTTGAAGCTATGGGTGCATAATGTGGGTCTTGACTCTTGAGTTTTGAGATGTCTTAGGTGACTTGTGAGTCGACTCAAAAGTCACCCGATGAGGTGGCAGTACTGGCATGGGAGGAGCGAGAACCCCTCTTGAAGCTATGGGTGCATAATGTGGGTGGGTTTTGAGTTTCAGACGTATCAATACCCATAATAATGTGGTTTTCGAGTTGAAGACGTCTCAAAAACCCTTGATGCGGGTTTTGAGGCTCGTTCTGAGGCGCCTCAGATCAGAGTCAATGGGCAACTTGCGGTAACGATGGGTTTAGATGCTTGCTTGGCTCTTGCACTCGCTGTATTCATTCATTGCGCTTTCTCCCACTCTCCCATGTGCCGGATGATCAGATGATAAAAGAGATGTTTTGAGACGTCTCAAAATTTCTCCCACTCTCCCATGTGCCGGATGATCAGAAACTTGTGTTGAGACATCTAGTACACACGCCTACACGCATGCACGCACACACACGTATGTACGTACATACATACGTACATACATACGCACATACATACATACATACATACATACATACATACATACATACATACATACATACATACATACATACATACATACATACATGCATGCATACATACATACATACATACATACATACATACATACATACATACATACGAACGTAAGTACGAACGTACACACACACACACAGGCGAGGTGCCTTGCAGGCGACTCTTGAGGAGCCTCAAATCCCTCCCTCTGCTGTCCACAGGTGCTGCTTCTGGTTGATAAAGAGACATAGCTGTTCCGAGCCGTTATCGGCCAGACCCAACCCTCTTCCAACGACAACGCTCGAGCGAGGTGCCTTGCAGGCGTGGTGCTGCCCTCTCTGACGCTGCTGCACTCCTTTGGCTGCGTGGTAGCGGGGTTGTGTTGGGACCCACAGCACCTCTTCCCGCTGCTGCATGTAGTGCAGGCACTGCTGCCTCTGCGACCAACGGTGAGTGCGAGGGAGGGAGGGAGGGAGGGAGCGGGGAGGGTGGGTGGGTGGGTAGCTTTTAACCTTGCACTTGCTTGCCTGCATGCATGGTCGCGGGGTTGTGTTGGGACCCACAGCACCTCTTCCCGCTGCTGCACGTGGTGGAGGCACTGCTGCCTCTCAGCCCAACGGTGAGTGGGTGGGTGGGTGGGTAGCTTCCATACCTCACCATACTCACTGTACCGCACCATAGCGCACCATACCGCTCCATGCCTCACCATACCCCACCAAATGTCGCATTTCCCTTTTGACATGTAGCATGGCAGAGGCTGGCAGGGCAAGAGGTGCGGCTCCTCCCAACCTCACCATACCTCTCCACACCTCACCACACCTCACCACACCTCACCATACCCAATGTCGCATTTCCCTTTTGGCAGGTAGAGAAGCAGTTTCCGGGGGAGGCAGGGCAGGAAGTGCGGCGCCTCTTCTGCCTCATCTGCTCCTCCCTCTGCACCGCCGTGCATCGAACCATCTCTGACTTCCACCTCATCTCCTCCTCCCCCACCTCCCACCCCTTTCCGCGGCAGGTAGAGAAGCAGTTCCCTGGAGAAGCAGCGGCAGAGGTGCGACGTCTCTTCCTCCTCATCTTCTCCTCCCTCTGTACCGCTGTGCGTCGAACCATCTCTGACTTCCAACTCAGAGTGCATTTCAACCCCACACAACCCCTCACCACCCCTTCCTCCCCAGCACAACAACCCCGCAACCTCCCCTCCTCCCCCTCCCGCTCCTCTTCCTCCTCCTCCACATCCCTCATCCCCCCTCCTCCTCTCTTTGATCTCGCTCCGACGCGGGAAAGCCGGGAAGCTCTGAATGCTCTTAAAGCCAGCCCGGATGTGCTGCCTCTCACGAGCTACCTGGTCAATTTCGTCATCCTCTGCTTGGACCCGTGAGTGCCTGATTCCTGAATGCCCGTGAGTGCCTGAATGCCCGTGAGTGCCTGAATGCCCGTGAGTGCCTGGATCCCCATCTCTGACTTCCAACTCAGAGTGCATTTCAACCCTACACAACCCCATACCACCCCTCCCTCCCCAGCACAACAACCCCGCAACCTCCCCTCCTCCCCCTCCCCCTCCTCTTCCTCCTCTTCCACCGCCCTCCTCCCCCGCCCCCTCCCCCATCCTCCTCTCTTTTCGATCTCTCTCCGACGCGGGAAATCCGGGACGCTCTGAATGCTCTTAAAGCCAGTCCGGATGTGCCAAGAAATCTGATGCCTATGCGCCCCGTACGCTCCTGAATAGAAGTCCGGATGTGCTTGCTCTTACGAGCCACCTGGTCTATTTCACCCCCCACCCGCCACCCTCGCCAGGTCCCTATACCTGAGCACGCTGCTGCTGGTGTATGGAGGGGAGGAGGGGAACGAGGAGGGAAACGAGGAGGTGGGGCCGTTACGGGTGGGGATGGCATGGGTGGGGATGTCATCACGGCTGCTGCTGGCGGCTCTGAAGCCGAATCTGGAGCGCGTGGGAGATGCGTTTTTTTTCGATGAGGGCATGCGAGCCTTCTTTCTCCTAAACAACTGTGCATACATGCTGCATAAGGTGGCGGAGTGAGTGGGGGTCGAGTCTCGGCATGTGATGTGATGTCTAGTAGTTGGTCAAAACAAGCCTTCTTTCTCCTCAACAACTGTGCATACATGCTGCATAAGGTGGCGGAGTGAGTGGTTGGGGGTTGAAGCTTGGGGAGGGGTGTGAGGTAGTTGCTAAGATAGATCTTCCTTCTCAACAACTGCGCATACATGCTGCACAAAGTGGTGGAGTGAGTGTGTGGGGTGTTTTCTGTGCATGGATGTGCATTTGCATTTGAATGTGCATCTTGATGTGGTTTTTACCATGTGTCTTGAAGTGCTTTCCAATGTTCTCTCTCATGTGTGTTTCGATGCATGTGAGTGACTGGCCTGGCGGGCATGACGAGCAGCAGGTGAAGGAGGTTCTTGGGCAGACTTGGTTGGACGAGGTTGCATTTTAATGTGAATCTTGATGTGTGTTTCTAAGCCCGTTTCGATCTCTCTCATGTGTGTTTCGATGCATGTGAGTGACTGGGAACCTGGCAGGCATGACGAGAAGCAGGTGAAGGAGGTTCTTGGGCAGGCTTGGTTGGACCAGGTTGCAAAGGAGCTGTTGAGACATCGAGACACGTACACTCGGTGCGTCAGGGACAAGGTGAGTGAATCTGACTTCTGAGTTGACTCAATAGTGTAGTGTACTATTGTAAGGAGGTGACTTTTGAGTCGACTCAATAGTGTAGTGTGTTATTGTAACGAGGTGACTTCTGACTCGACTCAAAAGTTAAGGAGCTTTGAGACGTCGAGGCACATACATTCTGGTTTTTGAGAATTCTCAAAAACCAAGCTTTGAGACATCGAGGCACATACATTCGGTGCACTATTGACAACTCTCAACTCTCAACCCCAATCCCAATCCAATCCCTCAGGTGGCTCCAGTGCTGTCGGGTCACCAATGGAACGTGCAAGCCTTTTTGAAGCAGCTTGCGGCGTTTCACACCCTACTGGATGCCATTCATAGGCAGCAGAGCACGTGGAGCATTGGGAATGCCGACGCACGGGCAAGCGTGCGGGACGAGGTGGTTTCGCAGGTGCTTCAGCAATACAGGGACTTTTTGGACCGGCACAGGTGGGTGGAATGGAAGCAGGTGGGAAGAAAGGTGGATTTTTGAGTCGACTCAAAAATCGAAAGGTGGGTGGCATGGAGGTAGCTGGGGAGATAAGAGGTGACTCCTGAGTTGGCTCAGAAACGACTTCCCATGTGCTAACAAGATACATTGACTTCATGCATTGCATGGCATGTAACTTTTGTGGAGCGGCATGGCATGGCACCGAACCACGTATGTTATGGCTTGGGATGCCATACTACCACATATGGCATGCATGTAACAACATATGGCACGGCATGGCACGGAATGGCATGGCGTGGCATGTAGCCAAGTATGGCATGGTATAATGCCACCACATATGGCATGGAATGACATGACATGGCATGACATGTAACCACGTATGGCAGGTCTATAGCGGACAGCCGAGCCTGCAAGGTGCATGTGCCAACATGCCAGGAGATGCATGTCCGCCTTACAGAGGTATTCAGCTTTGTCAAGAGGCAAGCATAATGAGATGCTTTTGAGGCAACCCTGAAGCAAAGCAATCATAATATGTTGGCATGTGTATAAGCAGGCCCTGGTATTGGTTTAGTGGCGGTCTGACCAATTAGACCGAGAGCTGTCACGGCAGGTGGATGTCAGACTTGCATGTGATTTCTACAGTGCGTGCGTACCTGTATAAGAAAATTATGTTTTGGACATGTATTAAAGAGGGTGTACAATTGTAACATTTGATATGCTAGAACAAGTTTTGCCTTTTTCAGTACCGAAATAAATTCCAAATGCTAAATAAATGTCGATGTATCATTTATAATATACGCCGTGTACAATTTAGTAAGATACTACTGAAATATTACCATTTTAGCTCATCCAGCGCAGGGCTATTGGGAGTCAGCGAGGCAGCTAAGGTGCGAGCAACAGTGGCCACCCATTGGGTATAAAAGAAGTAGCACCAGGCAGTCCATGACACCATTCCCTGTAATGGGGGTGCATAACAGCAAGCAGACAGGTAGAAAGCGGTGTGAAATGGTGGAAAGTAGGGGGTAGTAGCCACCCATTAGCTATAAAAGAAATAGCACCAGGCAGTCCATGACACCATTCCCTGTAATGGGGGTGCATAACAGCAAGCAGACAGGTACAAAGCGGTGTGAAATGGTGGAAAGTAGGGGGTAGTAGCCACCCATTGGGTATAAAAGAAGTAGCACCAGGCAGTCCATGACACCAGGCCCTGGTGTTGGAAGGGCAGGGCAAGGGAAGAGGTGCAAAGCGGTGTGAGGCGGTGTGAGACAGTGAGGCAGCAAAGGTGCGAGCCACAGTGGCCACCTATTGGGTGTAGAAGAAGTAGCACCAGGCAGTCCATAAAACTAGGCCCTGCATTGATAGGAGGGGTAAGGGAAGATGTGCAAAGCGGTGTGAGGTGGTGGAAGGCAGGAGGCAGTGCCCAGCCCACCCATTGCGTGTAGAAGAAGTAGCACCAGGCAGTCCAGGAGATCAGGCCCTGTAATGGGGATGCATAAAAGCAAGGAGACAGGTACAGAGCGGTGTGAGGTGGTGGGAAGCAGTAGCCACAGTGGTCACCCATTGGGCATAGTAGAAGTAGCACCAGGCAGTCCAGGAGACCAGGCCCTGTAATGGGGATGCATAAAAGCAAGGAGACAGGTACAGAGCGGTGTGAGGTGGTGGGAAGCAGTAGCCACAGTGGTCACCCATTGGGCGTAGTAGAAGTATCACCAGGCAGTCCAGGAGACCAGGCCCTGTAATGGGGATGCATAAAAGCAAGGAGACAGGTACAGAGCGGTGTGAGGTGGTGGGAAGCAGTAGCCACAGTGGTCACCCATTGGGCGTAGTAGAAGTAGCACCAGGCAGTCCAGGAGACCAGGCCCTGTAATGGGGATGCATAAAAGCAAGGAGACAGGTACAGAGCGGTGTGAGGTGGTGGGAAGCAGTAGCCACAGTGGTCACCCATTGGGCGTAGTAGAAGTAGCACCAGGCAGTCCAGGAGACCAGGCCCTGTAATGGGGATGCATAAAAGCAAGGAGACAGGTACAGAGCGGTGTGAGGTGGTGGGAAGCAGTAGCCACAGTGGTCACCCATTGGGCGTAGTAGAAGTAGCACCAGGCAGTCCAGGAGACCAGGCCCTGTAATGGGGATGCATAAAAGCAAGGAGACAGGTACAGAGCGGTGTGAGGTGGTGGGAAGCAGTAGCCACAGTGGTCACCCATTGGGCGTAGTAGAAGTAGCACCAGGCAGTCCAGGAGACCAGACCCTGGTCGGGAGGGGAGGAGGGGGTATAACAGGATAACAGCAAGCAGACAGGCACAAAGCGGTGTGGGGTGGTGTGAGGTGGTGTGAGACAGTGAAGCAGCAAAGGTGGGATCCACAGTGGGCACCCATTGCGTGTAGAGGAAATAGCAACAGACAGTCCAGCAGACAAGGCCATGCATTGTGAGATGGTGAGAAGGTACAGAGACACCCATTGGGTCTTTGGAGCAGTGGCAAGCCCAGGTGCTTTACCCTACCACCCCAGGTGCTTTACCCTACCAGCCCAGGCGCCTTACCCTACCACTCAGGTGCCTCACCTCTCCTGCAATGAAGATGTCCGGTTTAGTGTAGTGCCAGAGCCCAAAGTACCTGGGGGAAAGGCATGGTAGGATGGGAAAGAGAGTGGCAGGATGGGGAACGGTGGGGCAGGGTGGGATCTTAAGATGCCTTGAACTGCACTGTAGGTGTCTGGTTCAGTGGATTGCCAGAGCCCCCAATACATGGAGTGGAGTGGAACCGGGTCCGAACGGCCACATATTGGTGACTTGTCGGATGGAAATCTATTGTCTCAGTGCCACCACCGATACCAACATCAACACAAGCAGCACCGGTGGCGCCGTGGTGGCAGGTGCATAATTTCGGTTGTGGCACCGGTGCTGCTTGTGTTGATGTTGGTGTCGGTGGTGGCACTGAGACAATAAATTCCCGCCCGACAAGTCACCAATATGTGGTCGTTCGGACCCGGTTCCACCGGTAACCCTATCGCACTTCCTGCTCAGGATCTCAACTTCTACCCCCCCCTTGCTACACTCCTCCTTCGACCACTTTCGAGGCTTCTCAGAAGCAGTCTCCACCACTCCACCACGCCGCTGCCCCTCGGAGCCATACTTGGCCTGTTGCACCTCTGCCCGTCTGCAGCATCTCTCGTTAGTGTCTCTCCATCAGAGAGGGTGCAGTGAAGCACAAGGCAGGAGATGCTTACCCAACTCATCTCGCTCCAAGACATTCAGGACCACTTTTGAAGCATTCACTTCACTATATAGGCATGCCATGCTCTGCCTTAACGAATCCTCATGCTCACATTTCTTTCGCAGACTCACTTCATTATAAGCACTTCTGAGGCTGGGGCACCGACAGCGACAAAGAGGGCGAGGAGGTACCCAGGGAGGGTGCGATCAAAGGCAAACCAGTTGGCATGGGCGCACAGTGCGAGGATAGCGAAGATGCCTGTAGAGGGGATGGCATGGGCCTCGAATAGCTGGGAGCTGAAGTGGAGGAGGCTGATGAGCACCCTGGGAGATGGAGAGGGGAAGGAAAAGCGGGGTTATGGTAAGGAAGGGCTTTTGGTGGAAGAGGAGAACACCATATTACTGGGAAAAGGGAATATTTATATATATATATATATTTTTTAAAAAAGGCGAAGGTTCATGCGTTAAAGAACCTCATAACGCGTACAGCCAGGAGCTCATAGCAGCAACTCACCCCATGCAGCTGAGCAGACGCAGCCAGGAGCCCCTGGGAGGGGAGGAGGCGAGGGAGAGCAATCACATGTACCAGCCAAGGCACTTAGGCATCTTATAACGCGTACAGCCACCAGCTGACAGCAACTCACTCACCCCATGCTGCTGAGCAGACGCAGCCAGGAGCCCCTGGGAGGGGAGGAGGCGAGGGAAAACCACGAGGAAACAGAGGAGGATGCTGGTGGTGGTACTGGTTGCAGCTGTTCCCGAGACGAGGCAGAAGTATCAGGGGACACCGCTCCCAGAGCAGGAGAGCTATCCAGGCTCTGATACCCCGATTTGAAAGCAGATTGGTCGATGAATAGCTGCAGGCCACCAACGACGGCGTACATGGCGCCCAGCAGAGGGAAGACCCACACGCTCGTGCAGAGGCCGTCCGGACCCCCTATTATGAGGGGGAGGATGGAGAGAGGACACCTGATTCACGTCGTACACCTGAGAGAGGCCCCCATTCACGTCGTACACCTGATGGGGGGGAGGATGGAGAGAGGACTGGATGGGTGAATGAATAGCTCCAGGAAGACGGAAAGGAGGGGGGAGGAGGGGAGGGGGAAGGAGAGGAGGGGGAAGGAGAGGAGGGGGAAGGAGAGGAGGGGGAAGGAGAGGAGGGGGGAGGAGAGGAGGGGGAAGGAGAGGAGGAGGTCTGCCACGTGGAGAGGGCGAGATCAGGGAGAGGGCGAGATCAGGGACAGGGCGAGATCAGGGAGAGGGCGAGATCAGGGAGAGGGCGAGATCAGGGAGAGGGCGAGATCAGGGAGAGGGCGAGAAGAGGAAGAGGGCGAGAAGAGGAAGAGAAGGGCGCACCTGAAGGCCCACAGCGGAGTGAATGCCGTCCAGAGGCGGCCCCAGGGCGAAGCCAGCCACAAACAGACAAGCCAGCACAGTGGGCCAGCTGAAATGGGCGGCTGGCAGGGAGATATACGCAGCACGGACGGGGAAAGACAGGTCGACATGGGCATGTGAGGAGCATGTGGGGAGGATGTGGGGAGGATGTGGGGAGCATGTGGGGAGGATGTCGACCTGTCTTTCTTCAAATGGGGAGCATGTGAGGAGCATGTGGGGAGCATATGGGGAGGATGTGGGGACCAGGAGCAAAAAGGTGTGATAGACAATTAGACTCACGCTGATTCTCTCTCGCCTTGAACTATCCAATTGCTGTTCGCATCTGTTCAAATCTCACCGCTTTCACTCAACTCACACCGCCCTCACTCACCTCACACCGCTCTTACTCACCTCACACCGCTCTCACTGACCTCACACCACTCTCACTCACGTCACACCGCTCTCACTCACGTCACACCGCTCTCACTCACGTCACACTGCTCTCACTCACGTCACACCGCTCTCAAATCACCGCCCCGACTCACCTTCTTCCGCATCTGGCCGTGCCCCTGTACCAGCAGCCCCGTTAGAGGCGCCTGTGCTTTCAATCACATCCGGCTTCTGCTGCGATTTCTTTGGTTCCTGCTGATCCTGCGGTTCTGAAGCAGACGGAGTCGGGGACTGTGGGGAGCTAGAGGAAGATGCTCGAGTGGGTCCCAATCGACAAATTTTCCGGCGACTGACAGAAACTGAAGAATTGATTGACGGAATCCGTTCGACTGACACGTGAATTCGACTTCGGATCCCGGTAGCATAACACGTTCCGTCAGAACAGAGATTTCGTGGGCTATCAGACCAGAAGCTTAAGATCGCAAGCGGGGCGTACGCCTTAGCTATCCTCTCGGAACAGGGAATTTGCCGCGGACCTATGTTTTTTAGGAAACTGGCCGCCATAGTCGCTGCTTTCTAGCGCCGAGTCCGCAAGAGTTGAGCAGGGCGAGGAAGGACAAGCAAAAACAGCATTCAGGGGCAAAAAAACTACTTGTTCTGCAAACCGTCTTTTCCAACTTGGGTTGCGCTTCGTCACCTGCCATGCAATGGAGAGCTTTGGTGGGATAGGAGAGACGAGCCATGCAAAGGCAGAACGAAAAAAGTGTAGAAATGCAAATTGCAATGTGAGGCAAACATTTGTGGGCGAGTCCGTGCCACGTACCCCGTTCCCCGTACCCCCAGGTTTTGGGAAAAGGGAGGTTTCAAGGAGCTTTTGAAGATCCGAGAAATAGACAGGTTAGACGCGTTTCGATATCAAGCACAAAATCCTTTAGAAGGCATCGTCATCAACTGGAAAGTAATACTTGAAACATTTGCAACTATTTCAAGCATGGTTTCATAGCTTATACACTTGCCACAATTCAATAAACGGTACAAGAAAATCAACATTGTATTTACATCTTATCCAGCTAACACTAGGCCAGCACCAAAGGTACATTAGCTCAATCTCCCACCTCACCCTTCACTCTCACTCACCGGCCAGTCTCTACCCTCCCACCTTCCCTAACTCTCCCCTCAACTCAACCCCTTTCCCCTTCCCCCCTCCAACTCTCCCTCCTTCCAAACCCCCTCCCCACCACATCCTCCTCCTCCCCTCCATCCCAGCTACTACTACTCCTTCTCAACACTGCCTTCCCCTGCAAATCCAGTCCCATCTCACATTCCCCCTTCTCACTCCTCCGCTGCCCCACCCTCCACTGCTTCGACGCCTGACCGAACCTGTTTCACAAGACGGGCCACCTGTTGCTGCAAGACAGCAACCTCCACAGCCACGGCGAGCGCGCGCGCGAATCTGCTCTGCGCCGATCGCAGGGTCGGATGCGCCAGTCCCGCCAGGGGTAGCGGCTTGCCGTGGCTCTCACCCGCCGCAGATCTCGTTCCTGGGTGGCCGGAATCTTGAGAATTTTCGCTGGTTGAATTTTGATGATCTCCACATGGTTCTGGAAGAGCGGAATCCGTCTCGTGGCGGATCCAGCAACCAACGCAGCCTCTGCTGTTGCCGGCGCCGCCGCTGCTACCAGCGCTGCTGCTGCTGGTTGAGTCGCCTTTGCAAGAAAGAGCGAACGGCCACCGGATCTGAAAACCTGGACACGTGGCGCTTTCTTCTTCAATGCGAACCCTGACAAGCCTAGGATCGGCTTCTCGTTCCTCTTCATCGTCGCTGACTCCATTCGCGTCACTTGGCGATGACCTGTGCGCCGTCGCACACCCGACGAGATGCATCAGCCCACCGTCGCCCAGAGGCGACGATGCGTGACTGTAACGAGCGGCGGCGAGGTCCATCCAGCCATGCTGCAGCTGCGTCGCAAGCACGTGGCGCAGCCGCACGACGGCGTCGGTGCTATCCAACAGCTGTATCGTGGAGGACTCCATCGTATACGAACAGTATGTTTCGTTACGCGGGAGTGGTAACCCAAGCAACACGAATTGAACAACTCAGGAAGTGCCAGCCTGTGGTGGTGAGGGAACAGAGACGGGTGGCTGAATAGAGTTGTGCCCCTCAACGTGAATCTGTAGGGGGGGGACGAGCAAGAGGGGGCGGAAGGTGGCGGGAGTGCGCATGGACCTGGACTACTGTTTTGTGCGAATGCGTAGATTCACGTGATTGATCCCCGTGTGGATCCAATGCAGCCTCTGATTGGACAGAAACCACGATCCTGCTTCGCAGTGTAAATTAATATTTGTGAATCTCGAAATAACGAAGGGAGCTCAGGCGAAAAGGTTTGGCAAATAAAACGCAGTGGACGCGAAAGAACACGCGTAGAACACACACATGTGTACAAGGACGAAAGAACCATTCTTTTGTGGCTCAGGTCAGGTTTGGCTTGCGAAGTCATTGGGTGAACCCAAGAAACAGGTCAGGTAGGGTGAGAAAATATTGAAATTTCGGTTGCCTAGGCAGCGCACTCTGCATCTCGAGCATAAGGCGCAGGATCTCCGCCTGCCCCCGCTTTTTTCCGCTTATGTCATCAAGCTGAATCCCGCCCGCTCCGCCAATTGCGTTCCAGCCACACATCGTACAGCTTCCCCCGCTCCGTCCCCGCTCAATTCTCTTCACTCCGCGAAATTCCCAACAGGCGGCTGGACTTCGTTCGTTCCCCCGATTGGCCTCCCTTATCTGCTCCGCATTCATCCGCCCCCCTCCCCCCTTTCCCCCCACTATCGCCTCTCCCTCCTCCCTCCTCCCGCCTCTCCCTCTTCCCCCTCTTCTGTTTCTCACTTTCCAGAGAGCTCCAGATTTCAGATTTGCACTGATGTTGCTCGGCTGCTTGTTTCTGGAACCTACCAGTTATTTGCCGTCTAATCCCTCCACCAGACTTGGCGTCAATGTGCACGCTACCTCTTCCGTGTTGCCTGTCAGTGCTGATATTCTCGATTTAGCGGAAGACCATGATGCTCCCTGTTATCGTTCCTCCGCAAGGAGGCGTTCGGCTTATGTCCGAAGTGCCTTTGTTGGATTCGCCTCGTCTCAGCCTTCTAGGCTTGCGAAGTAATCGCGGAACGTCTCAGTGTCGGGCGAAAACTTCTTCTTCGTCTACTCGGGCCTCTATTCCACAAAAGGTTAAGATCTTCATAGTTTTCCCGCTCCTCATGCAGCTTCTTTCGAATTCTGTTGACCAAATTTTCCATGCCATAGACGTCAGTCTGACATAAATGCCTATTATGCTCATCTTTTCCCTCTGGGAAAGATTGTAAATTCGTTTTTGCCTTAATTCGTCCCTCTCTGCCTTTCCCAGGAGCATCACTACGGGCATTTGACTAGCGGTCAAGACCACGTACGAGCAGTACGCGGTTCGGCCGTTGTAAACCGCGAGAATGACATCGACAACTACACATTCGATAACCTCCGCACGAACAGCGCTTCATTTCATGGCGACAGTAACAGCGCTTCATTTCATGGCGAGAAAATAACGGTCTCAGTGCGAATTCACTCCGTGTCGGCCGGGGAAACCGTTTCTTCTATCGCATCCAGCTACTCCATTCCTGTGGACGCTCTTCTCGCGGCCAACGACAAATCCTCGCCGAGCATTCGCGTCGGTGAGGTGCTTTATCTCCCGTCCTCCTCGGCACGAAAGGAGACGAAAGTTCTGTCGCAGGAAGCGAAGAATGCTCCAGTCGCCTCACCTTCCGTCGCATCTTCGCAGTCCCAGGCGTCGCAGTCAGGGCGTTCCCAACACGTGTCTCTGCACATTCGAGAGAACCACGGAACGAGCTCCAGACAGTCCGTCTTCCCGACTGACTCCGAGGAATGTGTCCGTTTATGCACCGACAGCAGCGGTACCATGGCCGATGGAACATCCCTTTCCACTGAGACCAGCAGCAGCAGGAGCGGCAGCAGCGGCTTCAATGACGCAAGGGGGGCTAGCGCGGCTGCTGTTGCAGGTTCTGCGGGGCGTGTGTGTATCACTAGCTGCCGGGAAGCCCCCACTGGCAGGACAACGGGAATGAGGATGCGGGTGAGGGGATGGCTGAAAAAATCCTCCGGTGATGGCAGTGCCAGTCCTGATACTCGTGTAAATGAATCGGCCGCTGCTCCTTGTGAGGGGGTCTCGCCTGCTCTGCTGGTAACATCTGCTCCTGCTGCTCCTGCTGCTGCTGCTGCTGTTGCTGCTGATGCATCTGCCGGTGCTTCCACTGCTGCCAACGCGCCTCATGCTCACTCCCATGCTGCATCTTTCGCTGACACTCCCTCTCCCACTTCTGCTGCTGCTGAGTACGAAAATCGGCGTTTCGCCGACGAGCTGAGCGGGTTTGCAAACTTCTTTGCTGCAAGAAAGCACCTTGACGGATGGAGAAAGGGCCCTGGGGAAGGCCGTGTAGGTACCCACGTGGGGAGTGACGGTTCAAGACAGGGTGTGGTGGCGTCCGTGACGCAGGCGTTGGTTCCTGTAAGAGGGGTGGAAGTTCAGCAATCGCTGCCGTTGATTGGCCTCGGATTTGCTATCACTGTCACTGCAGGAGCTCTTGCTGTTCGCTCGGGATTGCATGGCCTGGTTCGTGCGGCCTTTCTGTTGCGGCTGCAGGGCTTTTCGCAGTGGCAACGCGACCAGAGACAGCAGCAGCAGGAGCAGGAGAGGGAGCAGCAGGGGGAGGGTAGTGAACAGAAGGCGGAATCGAACGAGCAGCAGTCACTTCAGCGTGTGAGGGACAATAAGCGGCTTGAGTTTTCAAAGAGGGCTCTCAGAAACTACCTAGACCTGCAGAAACGCGAAGTCAAACGGTCTGGCATGGAAGGAGCTGCTCTGCGGCTGAAGATGAGAATGGCCAAGGCGAACGGGAAGGATCCTCTACCATTCGCCCCGTTACAGGATAAGATGGGTTCACGCCGAAGCGTGATGACTGAAATCCGCAATGTTGTGGCCGAGGCAGTGGCGGAGGTGGTAGAAGGAGAGGAGTGCACGGTTGTGATTGAGAGGAGTAAGGCGTTGGTGAAGGACAGCGAGGGCACAGGGGAGTCGAGGGAAGTGGAGAAGGGGATTATGATGGGAAACGGTACTGGTGGAGGGGCAGAGGAGGCTGGCAGAATGATTGAGATGATGGAGAAGGGATGGTATGGTGGAGCTGGTAAAACAGAAATGAAAGAAATGATGGGCTTGGAAGGGGATGAGGACGGGCTTGGAGAGGTGGGGCCAGAGGTTTTTCTGGAGTGGAGTGTGGAGAAGGCCAGAGAGACTAATGCACATGCAATGGGGTATACCAAAGAAAGGAGTTAAGAGTGCTGCAGTTTGCAGCTAATCATGAGGGACAGCCTCCAGGGGCTCCTGGGTGATGATGACGAACTGACAGCGCAACTGACAGCCTAAAGGCCTGTATTTATACTGACAGTGCAACTGACTTGCATTGACAGTAACATTCTGATCTTCATATGTATGTGTTTGTGAATAATATTTCACCGCATGTGTTGATATATGTGCATCACTCTGGGTAGGATGAGGTTGGTTTCCCCACTCACTATATAATAGTATCTGTTGGGAACTGTGCGCTCTGGATTCATGACCTAGAGGATGCAATGCTAGCGATGGTATTGTTAAAACTCCAGTGGAGGTCAGTGTGCTTATAATTATTTCAAAGCTGCAAACACTGCATTATCTGCAGTCCATCCCCAAACGAGCACTCTAAACGGGGATGTCCGTCTCGCCGAATGGTTGATGAACAGAAGTCGAATTTTGAAACCATGGTCTGACAGAGCAGGAGGCGGCTCGAGCGATCTATCCGTAGCATCACCTGATTGGTGGAAACAGACCATCCCAATGCACAACATGCTTTGCCAAAACAGCCAGCCTCACCGCCATTTCGTCCATGTTTCGGCACTTAGCCAAAAGCCCCACATCACTGTGCTCAACCCGAAGCTCCTAGCATTCCGGTCAAGGCATGTAACACTTTTCGCTTTCAATCTGATGTTTCGCACATGGCTACCCTTTCCCGCGAAAAGTCGTACAGCGCGCGCAGCCCTATACTGTTTCCGACGTCGCGCGCTCCAGCGCAACACTGTTCCCGCTTTCCTTCACTTTTATTGGCCGATTTTTTTCCCGCTTCCCGCCAGTCAGCGGAGCCTTGCCATTCACTTCGCTACGGCTTCCCCCTCGGCTTGCAGTGGCTTCGCATGGCGAGCGACTCTGTTCGTCGGTCCCTTCGCTTCCCTTTCGCTGTCTCTCGTGCATTCCACCACAGACCCTTCTGAAATCCTGTCAGTTCCTCCTAACCTACACCCTCCAACCTCCCTTCACTTCCCTTCCCCTTCCCTCTCTACCTTAGGACGCGTTGGAAGTAGACGATCGTACGTCAGTCGCGATCGATGTGCGGCTCGGTTACCCTGTTTACTATGATGTAACCATGCTACAGTACGCTTTTTGGCCAATTTTTCTCTTCAGTGTGTGAATGCGACTGATCACTGATCGCGGGAAATCTGTCAATTTTCAGCTGCGATCGTTACAACGTCGCGGTCGCCATGTTTCGCCAATCGATCTGCCCAATCGATCATGGGGATCGATATGTGCAGACGATCCTGCGATATTTGCACTTTCAACGCGTCCTTACCAATTTGCCATTCGCTCTCACCTAGTCCTCCACAAGCACTTGACGAGTTCCTCGACATTCCCTAGGCAGCGTAATCTTCTGGTGTGACTGAAGTTAGTAGTCTCGGTAACTCGGTTTCTCCGAGTCCATGGCTTCCTCCGTTGTGACTACAGCCTTATTCATGGCTTCCTCCGTTGTGAATACAGCCTTATTCGCTACCATGATGGTAGCTAAAAACTAAATATTATTTGGACTATAGATTGGTTTTAGTTCAGGATTCCGAACGCTCAGCTCTCCTCCAAACAGCCCAGCCTGATGATTCAACCCTCAAGAGTTACGACGGTCGGTCGGTCGTTACCACCAGAGTTACAACATCGGACCATACGCGGATTAGATTCGTTAAATTAACAATACAGGAGGATCTCCTCCAAGCATCAGCTCCTAATGTTCGTCGAATCCATATGCTCGCTCGACTGACATTTCAGTTCATCAAATTTTATTACTGAGCGCCACGCTCTTCTTCGAGTCGAACGCGCATCCTCTCTTTCGTCAGATCTTCAACCTGAAGCTTCCTTCCTACGCTCGTGTCGCCGGTCGTGCTTCCTGTGATGAAGCGTACAGCAGTTGATCCGGAATCTGAATCGATTCTTCCTACGACGCAATCGGTCATGCGTCTTTCTCGCACATCTCGCTCGCGACGTTACGACGGATGATGAGGAGTTTCTTTTCGGCTAGTGTTACAGCATCATCGGAGTCCGAATGTCGCAGCATACCATGGCCGACGCAGCAAGCATCAGTTGATCTCGCAACATCCATGGCCACCTGCAACAACTACCGCTTACGACGTTGAAGCTAACAAGGACGACGCACGGCGCATACCACGCGAAGACTCTTCGGACGTCCGACAATGACGAATAGCTACTTACGGAAAATCAAGCAGCTTCGTAATTTTGACGATAAATCTCGCGAAGGCGTTGACGCTCGCCGCGAAGGAGGACCTCGCGACGATACCACGGAACAACGCTTCTTTCGTGAAATCGAGTATGGAAGAGTCCGCGAACTTCGCGGATGGAGGGCGGAGGAGTTCGCGACGCTGGTTCTACGGAAAAAGCTTCTTCGTTATTCGACTACCGCCATCGGTCTGATCCGAAGTGCTCTTCGACGCTTGACGGAGGAGCTCGAGACGCGGACCGACGCTAACGGAGGAGCTCGCAACACTGAACGGAGGAGATTGCGACGCTGAACGGATGAGATTGCGACGCTGAACGGAGGAGATTGCGACGCTGAACGACGTTAACGGAGGAGCTCAAGACGCGGAACGACGCTAACGGAGGAGCTCGCGGACACGTTCGAGCCGTTTTCGTCTGACGCTGGTGGTGAGTTTTCATCCAACGTTAGCAACAGGAGACAGAACGTTAGCAACGTTTTCATCCAACGCCTGATCTCTATGGTTCTCTCTCCTGTTGCCACTATTTCAGATTCGTTTCCGTTGGTAATCTTCCTTCTTGATTATGTTTTGTTTGCCTTCCATCTGATTTCGTCATTTCGGTTTTCCTTGACTCCGTCTGCCCGATTTCTGTCTTCCGTGAGTCATTTCCCTTATTCTATTTACTATGTCCTGTGCGCCTTGTCTGTCCAGAAATGTGGAGGAGGGGGGCAGCGGAGAAGACAGCAGAGGAGGAGGGAGGAGCCGAAAAGAAGAGGAGAAGAGGAGCATTGAAGCATTGGAGCCTTGAGCCATCAAGACATCACTGGCATGTCGTGGCCTGCAACTGGGAAGTCTCTGTCCCCTCGCCTTCCGTTCTCGTCACCCTCCATTCGTTTTGTTTTGTCATTCCGCGATTTGCACCATCGTCCGTTCTTCACTCACTCCATCGTCCGCGTTTCGTTCGTTCTTCACTCACTCCATCGTCCTGCATTTCGTGTTTGTGCACGTCCCTCTGATACGTTCGGCTGCAGCTTAGTGGATGTCCTCCGCGGGTTTTGGGTAGCATAGATTTTGGGTTGGGTAGCATAGATTTTGGGTTTTGGGTAGCATAGCTCCTCCCTCTGCTAGCTGCAGCCGGCGTATCATGGACGTGCATCCATCCCACCACCTCGTTTCCTCGTGTTGTTCTCCGCTTTCAATTTTCACACTTCGTTTCCGCTTTCATTTCCGCATTTCGTTTCCTTGTCTTTGTTTTACTTTCTTTCCATTTTGCATTTCTGTTTACTGACTTCGTGCATCTGTCTGTGTGTTCCCTCCCCTGTTTTTCAGCAATCATGGGTTCTTCACTCAGAGGAGGCGTCGAGGAGCACTTGAGCGGAGGAGCAGAGGAGCCTGCAGAGGACGGCAGCAGTGGCTCGGGAGGACGGCAGCAGTGACTCGGGCGGCAGCAGTGGCTCGGAGGACGGCAGCAGTGGAGGGAGTGGCGAGCGGTGGGATGACGCACGGCCTGGGCTGGCCCTGCTGACCACTGCTCTCGACCATCAGCAGCGGGACTGACCACTTCCGTCTTCAAGCGGCGGTGCGGCACTGGGGGGTAGTGGCGGAAAGGATAGGCGCGGTGCTGCTGGCGACTCGCGTGCTTTCATCCCTGCTGAATATGGCTAAGAAACTTCCTTACACTTGTTTTTCTCACTCCTTTGCTCACTAGCACTTTCACTGCTCGCATTCACTGCTCTCATTCACTGCTCTCCTTCACTGCTCGCCTTCACCGCACGCTTTCACTACTCACCTCCACTGCTCGCTCTTGCTTTCGCTTTCGCTCTTGCTTTCGCTTTCGCTCTTGCTTTCGCTTTCGCTCGCTCTTGCTACTCCTATCTTGTTCTCTGCCGCTTGCTTGCTTGCTATCATGTTCTCTGCCGCTTGCTTGCTTGCTATCTTGTTCTCTGCCACTTGCTTGCTTTCTATCTTGTTCTCTGCCGCTTGCTTGCTTTCTATCTTGTTCTCTGCCGCTTGCTTGCTTTCTATCTTGTTCTCTGCCGCTTGCTTGCTTTCTATCTTGTTCTCTGCCGCTTGCTTGCTTTCTATCTTGTTCTCTGCCGCTTGCTTGCTTTCTATCTTGTTCTCTGCCGCTTGCTTGCTTTCTATCTTGTTCTCTGCCGCTTGCTTGCTTTCTATCTTGTTCTCTGCCGCTTGCTTGCTTTCTATCTTGTTCTCTGCCGCTTGCTTGCTTTCTATCTTGCGCTCTGCCGCTTGCTTGCTTTCTATCTTGTTCTCTGCCGCTTGCTTGCTTTCTATCTTGTTCTCTGCCGCTTGCTTGCAACTTATCTTGTTCTCTGCCGCTTGCTTGCTTTCTATCTTGTTCTCTGCCGCTTGCTTGCTTTCTATCTTGTTCTCTGCCGCTTGCTTGCTTTCTATCTTGTTCTCTGCCGCTTGCTTGCTTTCTATCTTGTTCTCTGCCGCTTGCTTGCTTTCTATCTTGTTCTCTGCCGCTTGCTTGCTTTCTATCTTGTTCTCTGCCGCTTGCTTGCTTTCTATCTTGTTCTCTGCCGCTTGCTTGCTTTCTATCTTGTTCTCTGCCGCTTGCTTGCTTTCTATCTTGTTCTCTGCCGCTTGCTTGCTTTCTATCTTGTTCTCTGCCACTTGCTCGCTTGCTATCATGTTCTCTGCCGCTTGCTTGCTTTCTATCTTGTTCTCTGCCGCTTGCTTGCTTTCTATCTTGTTCTCTGCCGCTTGCTTGCTTTCTATCTTGTTCTCTGCCGCTTGCTTGCT